GGGGGAGCTTCCTTCCAGGTGTTGGGACTGGCTGAGCTTCACTGCCCTAGGAGCCTGGGATGGAGGCGGGGGAGCTTCCTTCTGGGTGCTGGGACCGGCTCACCTTCTTGGCCCTAGGAGCCTGGGATGGCAGTGGGAGAGCTTCCTTCTGGGTGCTCGATTTGATATATTTTTGTGGTACTGGGGATTTGAACCCAGGGCCTTTGCACTGAGCTACATCCCAGCCCTTTCTTTTCTTTTCTTTTTTCTTTTCTTTTTTTTTTTTTTGACACAGGCTTTCAATAAATTAAGCTGCCCAGGCTGGGCTCGAACTTGTGATCCTCCTGTCTCAGCCTCCACAGTGCTGGGATTATAGGCATGCACCACCATCGCCAGCATGTTATTTTATCTTTTTAAAGGGTTTCCTGGACTTGCTTTCATTTGGGATTCAGCAGATGAGACAGATCATTCCAGCTTTCAGCTCCTGGTTTACTTTAACACAATGCCCTGCTCTGCCAAAGGCTGTGATGGTGACACTCGGGCTAATAGTACCACCAGCTCAGAGCTTTGGTTCGGTAGAGGTAGGAGAGCCTGTGTCACCAGCTGGCAGAAGGACTGCGCCTGTGGTGCTGGGTAGATGCAGCATGTCACAGAGCATGTGATTTCCCAGCTCTGTGGACTCAGCTCCAGACCGGGTGGTAATTGTGTCTGCCGGTGGGGCCAACAGCAGGAGTGGAACATGACAGCGTCATCCTCCCAGGAGGGAGGCTCTGGGCACAGATGCTGTGGGAGGCTTCTTTCCGGGCCGATTGTTGGGTCGTAGGCAGCAGGCCTGGAGGCTCACTCCTTGGCAGAGGGAGAGGCTGTCTCTGAGTCAGGGCTGAGCAGGGCCTTGGATGTGTTGCTCAAGGAGCATGTTCTTTGCAGAGAAGAAGCACCCAAGGACTGGGTTAGGGGCCTGGGTTTTGCTTTGGTTGTTTGTTAAGCAAAGCTAACCTAGGGCCTCTGAGGGCGTGTGTGAGGCTGTTGACCACGTCCCTTAAGGTACTTAGAGGCAGGGAGGAGCCGGGTTGATGTCAAAATGTTTCAGTTCAATTTGGGCCTCAACCCCCTGTCTGTGTGCATTGGTCAGCTTTACCTGCCATACGTGGGCCTTGCTCAGTCTTCCCATCTTCAAAATGGGATGATAGAACACCAGATTACGAGAATGACATGATGCCAGTTAGGAAGTACCTCTTTCCTTCTTTTTGGGTGGAGCCCTGTCTGGTCCAGGGTTGGATAAGAGGAACAACAGGGCTGGGCCGAGGTAAAGATCAGTGCCATACGAGCCCTGCAGCCAGCAGAGGGTGGGGACTAGGCTTGCATCTTGCCAGGTTAGGAGGGGTGGACCAGGGCCCCAGGAGGCAACTGGAACACAGGCAAGCAGCAGCTGGGGCACTGGCTGTCAGACTCAGCCGTGGCTCTCTGGGACCCTGTGGAAGGCCATCCACCTTCTGGGGCTCAGGGTCCTCATCTAGGAAGAGGGGTCTCTTGTTCATCTGCACCCCCTTTATGGGGTTATGTGAGGTGGTATAGGATGATGGGCATGGGAATTCTGCTCCCAGAAGGGAGCTGCACAGCACACACTTGGCTTGGCTTTCAGTGGCCCCACCTTCCAGGGAGGTGCAGATTCCCGTGTGTGTGCCTCATGGGTACTTGTCCATAGAGCAGAGTGGGCCCCACTGCTACCAGCCTCTCAGATGCATATGCTGAGGATCATTTGTTCACCACTGACCAAGTCAAAGGAGGCCATTTGTTTTGGTGAAAAGGAAAGATGCTTTTGCTTTATTCCAAGCTAGCTCTGAGGAGATGGAGGCACCTTATTTGCCTCAGATCACCATCTTACCATGTCCAGGTGTGGTAAGGTCTTTCATAGCAAGGAACGTGAGAAAGGAGAACACAGTGAGATGGTGAGCATCCCAGACTGTCATTGCTCTTAACGCTGACCTCTGGGGGCCAGCACCTGCTTATCATTTCCGCTACGAGGAGGGAGTTCTGGCCGTGCCCAAGGATGCCACTTGTCTCTGTAGGGAGAAAAGTAATCTAGCCGCAGATTTAGCTCAGTGGTTCCGCTGCCTGCTTTGCAAGTGCAAGGTCCCGATTTCAATCCCCGGTACCAAAAAAAAAAAGTAATCTAACTTTTAAAGTTCCCCTTTTACAATGCCGGTTACACTGCTGGCAGTGATGGGGTAGGGAGGGGGGTATTATTTCTTGGCTTCTCCTCTGAACCACAGAAGCTTGACAGTGAAAGCTCTTTAGCCTAGGAGAGGTTGCAGGATGTCCCTCCAGAATGCCAGAGGGACAAAGGCTAGGAGTGGAGACAACAAGTTGAGTCCTGCCTAGGGTTAAATGGATCCCTAGAGGGAGAGAGCTTGGGGGTGGGCATGGAGGTCATGGCAGCAAATGTTAGGCAGGAAAGGCAGGGAGAAGCCTAGGGGGCGGTATTCTGCCAGTTGCCCATGAATGAGGAGGAAGACGAGGAGAAGGCTCCTCAGTAGCAGCATATTACTTTGGGGTGGCAGGTGCATTTACTGTAGTTGGTCTGGAGGCTTTCCTAGTGAAAGCAGGAATCAGACCCTGTAAAGGTGGAAGGGAAAGTATGTGGCTGAGACCAGTTCTAGAAGCTGCTGCTGCTGGGAGCCTGGGGGTGCTCTGTGGCCTGGGAGCAGTGAGGGAAGAGAGAGAGGCCTGCTGGGGTGTGCTAAGGAAGGACTAGGAGCCCCTCAGTGTCTGAGACCCTCACTTTGAAGCCTGCTCTGGCCCCTGAGCAGCACACTAATTCCTACTCCTGGGCCACTCAACCGCCAGTCCCCATGACTTCTTTCTGCCCTGCAGTGTCCTGCCCTGCCTTGCTACCATGGTTACATACAAAGGCAATGCCCAGCAGCCACCTCAAGTATTTCAAGGCGGCCTTGCCCCTAACCCATAGTAACCACTGGGCACACCCCTGCTTCTGGCTGTCCTGGGGCCGTGGCAGGGGTAGGGGGGCACCTTCCCACTTGGCACAGGTGCTCCTTTGCATAAGAACTAAGGACCCTCAAGAACATGCTTTCCCTGCTGACTGCCTGTTGGGGACTGGTCACCAGGAGGAGGATTTGTGCCTGCAGTCGTCTCTTCCATTGTCTTTCTTCTGACCTAATTAACACCCACCTCTGAAAACCCACCTTTCCCTCATCCCGGAAGCACCTTCACAGGCCTGTCCTCTTAAAACCCAGGTCTAAGGTGGTTGGGTTGAGGAGGAGTTTACGCACTAGCCCAGAATCTTCCTCTCTGGGGTGTCACTTACTCTGCCAAGATGGATTAGTGAAGTTCTTAGCAGGAGGCTGTGCTAGGGGTTTGGGATTTACAGATGACAGGGCCTTGTCACACAAAAGTGGATGAAGCAGCCACAGGTGTAGGGGGCCTGGGTGTGTGCTGGTGAGAAGGTGTCCAGGTTGACAGAGGGAACCCAGCACGACCAAATTCAGTCCTTGGTGGCCTTTGGGAGCAGCAGGGAGGAGCCTGCCAGGTGAGCAGCCACGGAAAGGAGTGAAACTTTACCCCTAGGGCAGTGTTGAGTTTACTACTCACTGTCCCCTGAACACAGCTGATAGCACAGGAGCAGATCCCAGCCAGGATTCCCAACCCTGCCCCATGAAAAGCTGGACCTTACAGACCACCTGGCTCTGCCCTTCCATCCTGACCTCTCCCACTGAAATTCTAGGTCAGGTTGCCCGCAGGCAGACATCCTTCAGCCCCCTCCCTGGGTCTTCTTGAGGGCCAGTCCCTGTTTCCCATGTTCACCATCCTCTGCTGCTTGATGGGCCCTCCCTGAGTGTCCAGAGCCCAAGTTGCTGGAGGAGGAGGAGTGGGGAGCCTCACTGCTGGGGCGGAGCACAGGCTGTGTTCCTGCGTGGCTCAGGGAGACAGCCCTGCCAACCTCTCAGAATTTCTTCTTTCCCTCTCCCACGTGCGTGGATGGGTTTCCTCCCTACCTTTTCTCCCTTCACCCTTTGGAGCACCCTGGCCAGCTCCTGTCCACCAGGCTGGCTCCAATGTTCTGCCTTTCTGGAGCTTTCCTGGCATCTCCAGGACCTTCTAGGCATCTGTCCTGGAGAGGGACAGTTCCATGGTCAGGAGCCAAGGATAGGTCAGGGACAGACACTGGTGATGGAGAGGGGCAGCAGGTGAGACTGGAGAGTGAAAGTTGAGCTCCCTTCCTGTGAGTGAGCAGTGGAGCCCCCAACCTGGTAGCTTCTTGTATTATCTGATGCTCTTGCTGTGATTGTGGAGGACTGCAAACACAAGGAACATTCCAGAAAACAGCTGGCCTGTACACCTCACCAATGCCAGTGGTGTGAAAGAGAGGCTGGGGGCTTCTTCCACGTGAAAGGAGACTGAGGAGGACACAGCCCCCCACATGCAAGGCATGATCCCAATTGCATCTTGGAACAGGGAAAACTAAACTGCTACAAAGGATAAAAGTAATTATTATTATAAAGTAGAAGCAAAGCAAAGATGCTAAATGTCAACAATTGACACATCTCCATGAAAGGTGTATGGTCGTAGCAGTATTCTTGCAGTATTTCTGAAGCTTTGAAATTTTGCCAAATCACAAATTGAGTTCCAGGATGTTGAGCCCTCAAGAGTGCAGCAGTGCAAGGTGATAGGTGGGGGCCTGCAGGGACAGGCACCTGCTTATCTTCTGTCCTTTCTCTATCAAACGACGTTCTGCCTATAGGCAACTCGGGACGTGGTGCTGAGCCGCTCGCCGGAGCAGAAGGAAGACCGAAGTGAGAGCTTGCGGAATGCTGCTGCCATCTATGACCTCCTGAGCATCACGCTGGGCAGAAGGGGCCAGTATGTCATGCTCTCCGAGGTATGGCCCAGAGCCGGGTCGGAGTAAAGGGACTCAAAGGGAACCATCATTTATCCCTTCCTCACTTGTTGCTTTGATGTTTGGCCTTTTTCTGGCCCTGTGACCTTGGCAAGTCCCACCAGCCTCAGCTTCCTCCTCAGTGAAGTGGGAGTAGTTAGGGACCCTGTCTCAAGGTTGTGACCCCTGTCATGCACGGGAATAATAAATGTTAGCTATTATTTTTATTGGATGTGTACAATTTGAAAGCACTTTTGTGAATCTTATTTCTTTTGCTCTTTACTATGGCCCCATGAAATCATCCACATGTTCTGGAGGTGGAAACCAAAGACTAGATGGAGGAGACACTTCACAGGGTCATCCAGCATGCCAATCACAGGGACTGGGTTACCCCCGGGTATCCACAGGAACCAAGTGCAGAGCTCCTCAGCCTCCTGAGGGCAGTAACTTGGACAGTGGTTACCCTGGAAGGGGATAGGATGGCTGGGCCGAGAGGAGATACTGACAGTCTCTCCCTCCCCAGTGCCTGGAACGAGCCATGAAGTTTGCATTCGGAGAATTTCACCTTTGGTACCAAGTGGCCCTCTCGATGGTGGCTTGTGGGAAGGTAAGGCCCGAGTTGCTGGGATTGCACCCTCCTGCTCCTCTCTGAGCAGGCAGAGGTCAGGGGGTGATCTAAAACTGTGGTCCAGCAGCAGCAGGTGTGAGTGGGTGCGGAGGGCCAGAGACATGAAAGATACCCTATGTGACTCCCACATACACGTGTGTGTTACACTTGTTACATGTGTGTGTGTCTGGGTGCGGGTGTGAGTCTAGATATCTTTCTCTGAGAGTGTTGCATACTGGTGCTTCTGCTGTGAATCTGTGGTACAGGTGCATGCATGGGATGTGTTGAGGGGGGGCTTCTCTGCCCCCAAGTGTAGCATCAAGAAAGGGCCTGCCTGTGAATTAGGCCCTTGCCTTAGGGAGAAGGGGAAGGGAGAGTGCAGCAGCAGGACCCACGGGAGTGTGGAGGAAGACCGGCAGGGTGGATATGGCCAGGGTTTAAAGCCACAGGGATGGGGGAGGCAGGCTGCCCAGAGCCAGGGGCACTGGGGCAACATTCGCTCTCCAACCACCCGGCCCCTGAGCCAGCACCCCTGATTTTCTCTCGGATCAGAACTATGCTTATATAAGCCTCTATTTTAAGCAGTGACATGAAAGGAAAACCTTTCTGGAGCTGAGTGCTGAGGGTGTTGGGGCCGAGGATACTCTGAACACAGGAAATAAGGTGGCAGGAGATTGCAGATGGCTCCGAGAGCTGTAAATACCCAGAGCCCTTTTGTGGGGCTGAGGGAATCCCTCGCCCCCGGCCCATCTGTGCCCTGTTCCATTTCTGGCCCAACAGCCATCTCTGAGGAGGGCCCTCCCGGTATGCCAGTGCCGCCTCCAAGAGTGGAAGGTTGCCAGCCAGCTCTGGGCCTCAGCAGCGGGGCTGGCCAGGACCTAACATGCAGGGAGAGGCAGGGGCCACTGTTGAGGATCAAAGGAGCCTCCCCGTCCCCTTCTGCTGGGCATTTGTCTCTCCAGTCCTCCACCCACCATTCGGGCCACCATCAGAGTACCTTGAAGTCACAGCATGGTCTGTTGGTTGTGTGCTCAGCTGGGTCTTGTCAAGGATTAGGGAGAATTCAAAACACAGACAGGAGAGGTCCCAGCCCTCTGAGATTAGGAGGCCCTGGTGGGATGTGGATGGGTGGAGGCCAGTACAGGGAGCAGCATGCTAGGCAGGGGGCTGCCTCAGCAGAAGTGGAGGGGCTGGAAAGATGAGCCGTGGGGTGACAGGGATAGGTGAGGAGGATGTGGGGATGGAGCTTACGTAGAACCTGGCACCCAGTTCATAGCAGTGTGGGGCATCTTCCTGCCTCCAGCAAACAGAGAAAGCACCTCTAATCTTATACCATGGACTGGGAGAGACCTGGGGCCAGGGCAGTGGTTTGCAGCCTTCTGTGGGTCCTGGACCTTGGGAGGAACTAAAGAAACTTCCAGGCCCTTCCTCATAAAAGTACAATGCACATGGAAATTAGCTTTAATTTTTAAGGGTGCTTCTCTAGGCCTCCAGGCTCGGGAAAAGATGTCATGGTCACCTGGGAGAGAAAAGCTCTTCCACCTCTTACAGAGAAGCAGCTAGGCTCAGAGAGATCTGGAGACAGCCTGGCACCCTCCCAACATCCAGGGAACTGGTTGCCCATCCTGGCTTCTTCATATAAGGAACCGGCCTACAGACAGGGAGTTGGGTCAGGTAACTTCTTCCTGTGTGAGGCTTGTTGGGCTGGAGACACTGGGCTTCACCCACCCGTGCACTTGGCGCAGCAGGAGATGTTCTGGAGACCACTCTCCACACCCCCAACCCCAGGAGTCCCACATGCCAAGTTAGTTGGCTGGTGCCCAGGCAGCTCTCAGAGGGGTGGCCAGAGCTTGTCTTTGCCAGGGGCCCAAGGTGGGAATCCAGGTTCTGAGCCTACCAGAAAGTGAGGCTGGACAGTTGCAAATACACCTGGCCTTTCATCCTATAGGAAGAACCGATGAGTTCCATGGCATGATTTAGGTTGTTCCTTCTCTTGGTCTCTATGCAGCAATTGCATTGGCTGTGTTGCTAGGTAACCAACATGACAAGAAAAAAAAACGTCTGCTACGTCTGCTGAGTCCTCAGATTGCTCCTTAAATAGCAGTGTTTTCTGGTCTGTGTGGGGGTGGGGTGGGAAGGGTGGGGTGGAATGAAGAGGGTCAGGGTGAGAGAATCCTAGGTTTCAAGGATCCCAAGGTCAGCTGTCCAAGGAGGCTGAAGCACTGCTTTAGGCTTGCCAGGTGTGTGCAGGGAGGGCCTTGGTGAGGGCTGGGAGTGACATTCCCAGGAAAGGGTCTCCAGACAGCCCTCTTCACTGCAGCCTACACTGAGCACCCTGTGCAGTCTCCCAGTCTGTTGGAGTCAGGCATTTGCTGGCACCTTCTTATGCTCAGCCTTCTACCCTCTTGTCTTGTGAGAGAGTAGTAGGGAATGGTGGCATTTGTCTTCTGTTCCCAACCTTTCTGTGATCTCCCAGGGGAAGGAGCTATGGCTTTATCCCCCTTCCCATAGTGATGTCACAACCACTAGCCCAGAACTGCAGTTGGCCTCATAAGTCTGAAGTATATTAGTCCTTTTTCTGTTACTATAATAAAATACCTGAGGCTGGTAAGGAAAAGAGGTTTATATAGCTTGTGGTATTGGTGTCCAAGGACTTTGATGTAGCATTGACTTCTGTGATAGGGACCTCATGGCAGATGTCATCTTGACAGGAATGTGTGCTGGTGGGAGAAATCACAGAGTGGGACAGGAAGCCAGAGAGAAGGGGCTTGCCTTGCTCTTTTTATAGCATTCCTCTTGCAAGAACTAACCAGGGTCCCACAAGATTTACATCCCTGCTGAGGCAGTGTTCCAATGAATGACCTGACCAACTCCCGTTAGGCTCCATCTTTTAAAGGTTCCACCACCTCAGCGCTGCCACCTGGAGACCAAGGCTCCAGCATATGAACCCTGTAGAGACATGCACAAACCATGACCAAGCAATACTAAGTATTGGTCAGCTTTCCTGTATCTAGGACGAAAAACTGACACCCACAGCCTAAAGGAGGAGAGGTTTACTTTGGCTCACAATTTCAGAGGGTTCAGTCCATTCATAATTGCCTGGCTCCAAGGCAGAAATGGTATGGGGGAAGGGCCTGGTGAGGAAAGCTGCTTATGTCATGGTGACCAACAAGCACACAGAGAGAAAGGAGGAGCCAGGAACAAGAATACACCCTTCCAGGGTGATTTAGCTCAGTGGTGCCGCCGCCTGCCTTGCAAGTGCAAGGTTCTGAGTTTGATCCCCAGTACCGCAAAAAAAAAAAAAAAAGAATACACCCTTCCAAGTCATGCCCCTAGTGACCTGCCTCTTCTGACCAGCCTCCAAACACATGAGACTTTCGGGGGACATTTTAGATCTAAACCGTAACAAGCACTGCACCAGAACTCAGGGAAATCTATGGCAGCTAGGTCGCAAAAGCTCTTCCTTTGGAGGTGGAGAGGCGGGGTCTGGGGTGAACACAGTCCAGCTGGGTCTCAGTTGTGCATCTGGCAGCCACTCACACCCTGCTGGGGGCAGTTGAACCCCCGAGAGCCCCCTTTCCTCAATGGCACCCCAAGTAATGGGAGCATGGCCTTTAGCAGTACTAGTTACACACATACACCTACCTACCTCAGGATCTCACATGTGTGGAGGGTAACAACCGAGTGCCCTGGAAAATGTTGGAATCAGTCAGAAGGTTCTTACCCTGTGTGTTCATGTGTGTGCGTGCACAGCAGGGAAACTGGCCTCCTCTCTGCCCAAGATAGGCACCATAAAGGCCATAAAAGGTTAAGACCTGAGGACTAGGCTGTGCACCGACTTCAGCTCAGCCACTTACAGGCTGGCTGTGTGGCTTTAAAACAAACTTCTTCTCTGCATTTTACTTTGCTTACCTGTAGAGTAGGGTTGTAGTACTTACCTGTGAAAATTCAGAGACTTCATGTTTACAAAACAATTAGAACAGGGGTCAACAAATTTTGGAAAGGGTGAGACAGTAGGCGTTTTCAACTTTGCAGGCCAGTCCATCACAGACAGCTCTTTCACTCTGCTTTTGCATCTTGCAAACAGCCACAGACAATACATAAGTGAATAGGCATGGCTGAGTTCCAGTAAAATTTTATTTACACAAATAGGTATAGGGTCAGCCTTGGCCTACATCTTGCCTTAGAGCATTGCCATTCCTGTTGGTGTGGGTAACACCCTGGCCTACACCAACATGCTCCCCCCACCGGCCTCCCTTCACTTGGCCAAGTCCCTGGAGCCCTGAGGAACCCTACAGTCCTGCCAGAAGATTGTCTCAGGCCCTGCCAGCTTGACCTCTCCCCTTCGTCTCTGTCAGCCTTTGTGTACCCTCCAGGTCCCACTCTCCTGTCTCTCCGTGCCCATTTAGAGAGCCCCTTCTACCACCAAAATGACTCAAATTTGGAAAGCTTCCATCTGTTGTCACTTTAGCTATTGTCATGTCACCTTTTCCCTGCCTTCTGCTAAGGCAACTAAGCTGTTAGGAGTTTCGAGCTCAATCAGTGCCCTCTTCCCAGCTGTGGCAAGGGTCATGGCATCCATTCTCCAGGTGAGGAAACTGAAGCACAGAGAGGGACCTGCCTGCCAGCACACCCTGGACTCCTCCGCTGGGGCCGCTTCCTGACGCTTGGGAGTAAAGGCATGCAGCACTGGGACTGGTTGTTAGGGGACCTCCCCTGCCCAGTCATGGAGCTCCAGCAGCCAGTGATGGTGTACCCTGCTCTTGCTTCTGCAGTCAGCCTACGCTGTGTCGCTGCTACGGGAATGCATGAAGCTACGCCCCTCGGACCCCACTGTGCCCCTGATGGCTGCCAAGGTCTGCATCGGGTCCCTGCACTGGGTGAGTGTGGTGTAGGGCTGGTCAGGGAGGGGTGGGGGGCAACAGATGGGCACGAGGTACCAGGATGAGCCTGGTTTGGCATGGAAGTGAGGCTACTGGTTGTGTGTGTGGTTGAGGGAAAGGTTTCTTAGAACCCGCTGGCCCCAGTCTCCACGGCAGGTCCCCTCACTCAGGACAGCGTCATGTTTGCAGTTCTTCCGTGCAGTGTGGTCTCCAGAGTGTCACATGGAGGGAAAGTGAGTTGCCCTCATCTGCCCAGCAGTGGGGTTCGTAGGCAAGACCTTGGAGTTGCCTGGACTGACATTATCTCAGAGGTTTTAGGTGGCCTCACATCTAATACATGAGAGCTGGCCAGGCTGATGCTAGGGTCAGGCCTTGCCCTTGGCAGAAGTGAACCCGTCTCCTTGCTCTTTTTGGTGGGGAGTGGGGCAGTACTGGGGATTGAACCCAGGGCCTTTCTTTTGAGCTACATCCCCAGCCATTTTTTAAATTTTGAGACAGGGTCTTGCTAAGTTTCTAAGTTGCCCAGGCTGGGCTTGAACTTATGATCCTTCTGCCTCAGCCTCCCAGTGTGTGGGGATTATAGGTGTACACCACTATACCTGGCTCTGTCTTCCTTGCTTTTGGCTACAGTCCCATCCCTGGGCTCTGCTGCCTGCTCCCTGCCCTCTTCTAAGGCAGCTAAGCTTTAGGAGGCTGCAGTTCAAGCAGTGTCCTCTCCACACCCCTCACCTTTACTGCAAGACCCAAGGACATTAGTATCTTAGAGCAGGGAGAGAGTACAGACCCAGGAGTCCAGGGCCCTGGGCCAGGTCGGCTTGACTGAAGCTCCAGGCCTGTGGATCTCTTGGGCCCAGGGTACTGGTACCAGGCCGGGGGTACTCTGTGTGAATAGCTACTCAAACTGGGAGCTCACTTCTGGACAGTCCGAGCTTCCTTAAGTTCCAGTCTGCCTCCTGATGTCAGATTGGTTCTGTTTCTACCCTCTTGATGACAAGAACAAGTGCCTGTCCTCCCCACATCTTGGCTTCCTCCCTCCATTTCTCCTTTAGGCTAAATAGCCCCAGTTTCTTCATCTACATTCTGGGCCCATGCTCTCCTAGAGTGAGTGCTTTGCCCAGAGTCGCCCTTCCTGACTTCTGTGAGCCTGACACCCCCAGTCCATCCCTCACTGCTGTGGACCCAACTTGCTCTAAGGCAGCAGGGCCCAGGCTCCAGGTGCATCCAGCAGATGCTTCTTAGTTAGCAGCCTTGACAACACCTCCTGCCACTCTCTCCTCTTCTGTGTCTAGCAGACAAATCACCAGCCCTGGGAAGGGAGGTGATAAGCTCCCTGTGAAGTCCACATTCTAACACTTTACAGGAAACTGAGCCCATCCTTCTCCTGGGTCCCTCTACGTGCTGCCCTGTGAGCTGCACCGTCTCTCTGCTTTGGAGAGGAAGGACTCCCTAGCCCAAGGAGGGGGTGAAAATAGCACCTTTCCTTTTCTCTGTGTGCTCAGATCCCTGTGTTTGAAGTGCCAGCCCTGGGTCCCCCTGCACCTTACTCAGAGGAGACCCTCAGTCTTCAGAAGAGAGGAGAATTAATAAGACTGATCCTTTAATGGGCTCTAGGCTTTTGGAAGGGGCATTGTGATGAGGTGGTTAAGTTTTACACCCACGAGCAGTCTTGAGTAAGGCATGTTTAACTTTGCAAGATGGTCAGGGAGGCTGCTGGGTGAGGTGGCTTTCGACAGGGATTACCGGTGGAGAGGATACAGGTGGGCTGCTGGCAGGCCCTTCCATCACAGCTTGCTTTCCCCCAGGCCCTTCATTATCAGGGAACCCTGGGGAAGGCTGTTGGCGTCTTGAGGTGGGCTGTCCTTCTGAGCAAGCCTCAGGTGTGGGTGGAATGGGGGTGCAGGCAGAGTGGAGCACCCCAGGCTGAGCATGTGCAGCAGGGGGTGGGGGCGGCTGGAAAATACAAAGAGGGCTCTGAGACCCCCAGCTCAGACCCCGGTTGTTTTAGGCCTCCTTAGAGGGTCCTCAAACTCATGGCTGAGGTGAAGCCTGAAATACCCTTGTCTCTGGGGACCCAGGGGGAGGGGTGGGCATCTGTGCTCCCCGAGACTGCCAGCTCTAGGGAGCTCTAGGTCCACCCAGCCAGCGCGCCCTTGCCAGGAAGCCCTAAATTTAGGTCTTCCCACCATGGAGGAGCTGTTTCCCTCCACAGCATAATTACAGTAATTATGTGCATTCAGATTACATGGTAATAAAATTAGGATCAAATCAGTCCAAATTGAAATCAGATGATTTAGGAGCAAAGTAATCAATGACAACATAAATAGAAAAGTCCAAAAGGAAGCTTAAACATGCAGACTTGTCATCAGGTCGGAGGGAAGGACAAGCTGTTTAACCTCCGCTCAGCAGCACATTGAGTGTTGGTCTGCTTGGAACCGGCATTTAAATCAGGCACAAGCTGGTGACTGGGGATGGGTTGCCTGCAGCATTCTTGGTCTGGACCATCCCCTCCCGCCTCCTGAAGCCCCACTTGTACCCACTTGTACTGATCACCTGTGTTTTGACTGTCGTTGCTTCTCGAAGGCAAGATTGTCTTCCCTGAAAACCTGCCCGCCCAGGAGCACAGTCTCTTCACAAGCAGCTCTGCCTTGTGTGGCTCTTGGCTTCCCAATTAGGTGAGGATCCATCTGCTTCACTCACCACACCTTACACACTGGCCCCTTCTCCCCCAAGGGAAGCCCACACATAGGAGGTGACACACCCCACTGGCCAGGGTGGGAACAGGTGGGAGGTCTGCTCCAGATTCCGTGGTCTCCCTGCCCTCTGTGGCTACTTCTCTCTCCCTGTGGGCCAGCCCAGGGCATTCTGTTCTCCAAGGAGGCCAGGAGGGGGCTAGCCTCGTACACTCCATCCCTGAGGCCACAGCAGGAACAAAGTCTGACCACGGGCAGGGGGCTGTGAGTGCAGGAGGCAGGTCGTGACTCCTAAAAGATGTTGGACACCCTGTCTGTCACCTGCCTTCATGACTCTGGCTCATGTCAACCCCCAACAGGCCCAGCCATCGAACAACCAGGCCCCATAAGCTGAGGACAGAAGTTTGGGGGTGGACCATTTGGCCTGGGTTACAAGAAGGGAGTCTGAAACTGGGACACTTGAAGAATGAGTTTTGCCAGGCAGAACCAGCCTAGTGGCCACATGCTCAGGGCTGGAGCATCTGGTCTCTAGCCCTGCATCCCGTTCTTGTGCCCAGAGCCAGTGTGGGTCACCCTAGGCTGGGGCTGGATCTGAGACCAAGGGTCCCCCAGGTGGTCAAGAAGGTCTTGCATGGTCACCTGCTGGCGACAGGGTGGGGGTGGCTAGAGCAGGTTTAGTGTTGAGGGGAGCATGGCTGAGGCTCTTTGGATTGAGAGGGCTTCCCAGGCTCTGAGCTGGGGACACAGTGACAGTGCTGAAACCAAAGAGGCCTGCAGGCAGCCTTGCTTTGACATGGCCGGCATCCTGCTAGGTCCCCATTTTTGGAGCAGGAAAAAAGAGGTGCAGACATGTTTTAGTGTCCCTCCAAACACATTTATTTAAAATTCATTAAATTTCAAAAGTTGAAACTGCCCTGCAGGTGGCATAGAAGGTGGGGTGTGTTATATGTTGGGTTACACACAGATGGCAGAGGCAGCCGTGAAATGGAACATGTGCAGCTCTGGAAAGGGTTGTGATATGTTCTCATGGGAGCACATGTCCCCCAGGAGGGATGTGGGGGTTGTGAAGGAGCACAGGCTGTGGAGGAGAAAGAACGGTTCAGCTCCCACCTGCCCACTCACTCACTAGCTGTGTGACTTTGCCCTGTCTGCGCCTCAATTTCCTCATCTGTAATCTGGGAATAGTCACCTCCACCAACACAGAGTGGCTGTGAACATCAGAGGTGAGGAGTGCCCCTGCTTGGCACAGTGCAAGTACCTAGCAAGTGGTCGATATCACTGTGATAGCCCCTTTGAAATAGCAAGCATGGCTTTTATGTCTTGACCTTTAGTTTTTAAATTCAGGAGTGGGCAGAGTCAGAAGATGGATTGTATGTTCCTGAGGCAGGGAAAAGACGATGCCAGCTCTCCCGTGACCACCTTGTAGAAGTTAGAACATGCTGCTCTTCCTTGGAAGAAAAGGTGGATTTTCTACAGAGCATCTACTAGTAGGCTCTGGGGTTGGTGGAAAGGAGTGAGGAGAAACTGGAGGTGTCTCAAAACAGAGCCTTGCTGGCTCAAATGTGGACTATCTCGGTCCTTGGGCAAAGAAGAGGTTGAAGAATCCCAGGGTGAAGCTCTTCAGCCCACTGCAGGGTGATTCATTAAGGCAGCCCTTGAGAGACTACATTAGGGAAGCTGGAGAGAGAGGCACTGTAAGCCAAGGAGAACCCCTCCTTACTTATGCAAAGCAAAACCAATCCATCACAACCATATACCCTTCGACGCATCCTTTTTCTAAAATGCCAAAGAGGAGAAAATGGAAAGCCACAGCAGCCAGCCATGAACCGAGTAGCCTTAGGGTCAGGAGACCTGGGCTGGAAATGCAGTTCTCTGCTTCCCATACAGGTGACCGTGGATAAGCCACCTATACTCCCTGCACTGAGAACCTCTGGCTGTGAAATGCCTGTACCATCAGGTAGCTGGAGTGCTGTGACAGGTCAGGTGAGCCTCAGTCTGCTCTGAATTGCAGGAAAAGCAGGGGACTCCCCCTGGGATTTCTAGCAAGGTTACCTGGCTGCCCTGGGCAAGAAAGATTAATTAGAGGGCTTTTGCATTATGGGGAGGAGGAGGATTGACAACCCTGGAAAGGAGGGCCAGTACCGTGACCTGAACTGGTCACAGAAACAGTTGCTCCTCCTCAAGAGCCCACAGCTGTTAACTTTAGAAACCACAAGAGGAAATGTGGAGCCAGGAGGGCACCTGAGGTACCAAGTAGGAGGAAGATGCTGAGGGTAGGTGCCCGGCCTCTCGGATCCATCCTGTAAGGGCAGTGTTGTCAGATCACAGGGCCATACCCATTAGTGGGCTGTGGAGTAGACACTTAGCGAAGCTGAGACGGCCCATCCATGAACAGGAAGATTACCCGTGGAAAGGGTGTCTTGCAACAGTGTGTGGGGCTGCTAGGTGGATGGATACTGCATGGATGAACTCTAGTGGGGTTAGAAAACTCGAGCAGCCAGCAGAGCAGACTGTTACAGAGTCACCAACTTGTCCTTGTATAATCACTCCTTTTTCTATGACTGTGGATCAGGCCAAGAGACAAAAAGGCAGGTGGTAGTGTCCCCTGTTTGGATTCCAGAGGCTTTGATGGCACTTCCTCATTTGCCAGTGAGATCATAAATGTGTTTGTATATATGCATGTGTATAAATGTATAGCAATTGTGATAGATATAGATATAATAGTACTGCATATGCAGTAACTGCTAATAGTACTTGATGTTCAGTCAAGAACTACTGTGAGCATTCAAGTCATCTCAGCCAGTTCTCTCAGCAACTCTACAAGGGAGCCACCTTTGGTATCCCCATTTTACAGAAGAAGAAATTGAGGCACCGCAAAGTGGGATAACTTTACAGAAGAGGGAACCAACAGCAAAATGAAGTGACTTGCTCAAGGCCACATTGGAAGTACCTATGCCAGGACTGGAGATCAGGCAGCGTGGCTCTGGTGCTTTGTCCTTACTACCAGACAGCCTGGCCTCTATGCAGAGAGCCAATTCGTGAGGCTGGAGCTGGTCTGGAGCTGGCTGGGGTGCCAGTACTTCTCAGCAAAGGAAGCAAAGTCAAGTACCCCAGACTTGAGCATTCTCACACTTGCTTGGGTGAAGGGAAATAATGCATAAAAAGTGTTTTGTTTTGTTTTTTGGTACCGGGGATCGAACTCGGGACCTTGCGCTTGCAAGGCAGGCGCCGGAACCACTGAGCTAAATCCCCAGCCCCAAGTGTTTTGTTTTTTAGTTTTGCTGTGACAGCATTCTCCCCTTTTGCATAGCACCCATGTCTATGAATACTGTGCGCTGTTGTACTGTCTATTGTCTTAATAGAATTAATAGTAATACTTTCTCTTATAGTCACTGCACTGTCTCCACATGCAGGAAGCCAGCTGTGTTGGGTGGGACTAGAAGGAAATCACTGTGGTGTTGGTACTTCTCATAGTATCACAAAGCTTTGTGTGTTTTAGATTCTCCCTCTCCACAGAGTGGAGTCTCTGCTTCTTCAGTTCAGCCACCTCATTCCCCACAGCAATGGCCTCTGTCCCAGGGCCTCAGTCCAGACTCCAGGGAAAGACAGACCCCACGTGTACACTTCCCTGATGAAGCCAGCAGTCAGGCTCCAGGATGCCTGGAGCTGCCCATATCCACTGGGGCTGGGCCTGTCCCTACATGGGCATGGATCTAGTCCCCCATTTGACTAACTTTACGAGCCCCTGGCTGGGGAGATACCTGTGGTTACAGGGCATTTTGTGTTGGTGGTGCTGGAAGGTTTGTGTGATGTGTCCATCCTCTTGGTAGGGGCTAGTGGGGACCTCAGGTTGGAAGGAGCATCCTGTTCTCACAGTACTGTACAAATGTAGGACACTGCCACACCGGGCTTGAGGCAGGCTAGGTAGGAGGGAGGGGGCATTTCTTGGAGGCTCTTGGGTCAGAATGGGCACAGCTCTCACCCATGGCTGTGATGTGCCCTGCCATCCCAGCCAGCCTGTCTGCTGTGGGGTGTCCATGAGGCCTGACCCATGTTGTGTGTGGTGATGTGTGCACGTGTGACTCAGGCCACTCCTTTTCCAACTAGAACAGTCCCCTGCTCCCAGGACAAAAACAGCTGCAGGCCGTTTTCCCCTGCAGGTTGGAGCTCCTGCTCTGAGGGAGTGAGCTCCAGATTTATCCCGAGTCACAGCTTGCACACTCCGCAGCAAAGCCCATGTCCTCACTCTGGCTGAGCCAGACTACTGAGCAGTGCAGGCACCAACACAGGCCCCTTGCAGAGCCACATGAGGAAGAGAGCCACACAGATGAGCCCTCTCTGGGGGCATGCTCCCAGGGGAGCCCACTTCGAAGGTCTGGATCTTGGGGGTAGGGGAAGCTTCTCTCTAGAAGTGGCATCCTGTGACCTTGAGCACAAGACACACAAACACACACACACACTCTTGGGGGACAGGTCCTACGAGTCGCTTCCTGGCAGAGGAAACAGCTTGTTCTTCCACTTAGTGGTTGAATGGCCCAGACGAGCCCCGGCCTGTGGTCATGCTGCCTATGTGTGAGCCAGCTCTGTTCTCATCTGCATTTACCCAGGGGCATCCCTGGCTGATAACTGTGTTGCCTGCCAGGCCCAGGGCAGCAAAGCCATTCCCAGTGACCTCTGTCTTTCCTCTTTGCAGTTGGAGGAGGCGGAACACTTTGCCATGATGGTGATTGGCCTCGGTGAGGAAGCTGGGGAATTCCTCCCCAAGGGCTACCTGGCCCTGGGTCTCACCTGTAGCCTGAAGGCCACTGACGGTGAGTGCCAGGCCCTGGGAGGCCTCTGCCTGGGAACAGAAGTCTGTTTCTGGACTCCAGAGCATCTTATTCCACCAGCACCCCCTCCCCATCAGTCTCCACAGACACTGTCTACTTCTGGGATAGATGCACTTGTGTGTACACACATGCTCTCTTGGCCTGCTCTATATCTACTCTTGTTCAGATGGCCACAATACAACATTAGTCCTCTATTCAGGGAGTCAGTCTTTCCTCCTCCTATGCCTGGCCAGCCCCTCAGAGCCAGGCTGCTGTGTTCTGTGGACTCCTGGTGCCTTCTTTTTTTTATTTTTTGGTTTTTTGAGACAAGGTCTCGCTATGTAGTCCAGGCTGGCCTTGAACTTACTGTGTAGCCTAGACTAACAAGCTGAACCTGAACTCATGGTGATCCTCCTGCCTCAGCCTCCCAAGTGTTGGCATTATAGGCATGCGCCACCACACCCATCCTCCTGGTGCCTTCTGTGTAGGGTGCCTGTGAGCCCTCTACCCCACTATGGCTTCATTCTTATCACCACTGTGATCTTCTGGGGTCTTTTAATTCTCCTTCACATGTGGCAGTGCTGAGCAAATGTCTAATAAATACTTATGTTTAGCTGATAGATCCCATTCCTTCTTGCCCTGGCCCTTCCAGCTCAGTCCAAGCCTCCCCCATTGATCAGGCAGGCACCTACTTTGGTTACTGTCTTAATCACTTTCTTTGTTGCTGGGACAAAATACCTGATACCAGCAACTTACAGGAAGAGAGGTTTATTTTGGCTCCCATTTTTAGTCCATAGTAGGCCCGCTCCAAGCCAGAAGTCATGGTGGAAGGACCTGGGCAGAGGAAAGCTGCTCACATCATGGCAGCCAAGAAGCAGACAGAGAAGCGACCAGCTGGGGAGGGAGATTTCTGGTCACACCCTCAGTGACCTGCCTCCCCCAGTCAGGCCCCACCTCCTAACAGAAAATCAGTATAGCACCCCCAAATTCAATCACTTTCCAAAAGCCCTGCCTCTGAGTACATGAGGCTCTTGGGGGGACATTTAGATAGAAAGCATAACAGTATCCTTGCAGCCTGAGGGTTGGGAATGGTGGGTACCCACTCTGGTCTAACCTGGAACAGGACGGACCCTTGCCCACATCCCCAGAGTGCCAGCCCCTGGGAGTCCCTCTGTGCCTAGCCTCAGAGGCCCCATCCAGCCTAACTTGTCTGAGGAGAGGAGAAAGCCACAGAGAGCCTGGCACAGGACCAGAGCTGGCAATCACAGTGTTCAAGACACCCACGATCCTTGCATGGGCTAGTGAGCGAGGTACCAGTCCTTTGTCACAGCTCACTTGAATCAAAGCAGCCTCCTTGCCTTGTCCCCTGTCCAAGCAGCGGCTGTGTTTGTAGCTTTCTAAGCTGGGAAGCTCTGGCAACCTCAGCACCTGGTCCTTTCCAGTGGGACCAGGTCCAGTCTGAGTGGGGCCTAGATGTAGTCATGGGAAAGCCTCCCTAGGTGCTTAGTGTGGCCCCAGCCAAGAACATCTGCCCTGCTGCATTTAAAGCTGAGTGTGTCGTTTACAGGAAAGGGTCAGCAGGAGCCAGATGAGTGTGAAGCCCAGGAAGGCACATGGCCAGGCAAAGGGGGTAGCCTTTTTCTGTAGGCTGGAGCACCTTGGGTGGGACTCCTGGGTCAAAGAGTGCCTGTGGGCTTGGGCCTCTGAGTGGGTCAACTTTGTGTAAGTAGCAGGGAAGGTAGAATGTGCCAGGAGGCGAGAGGAACAGAGGGCATCAGCTGGGGCTGCCAGACTTTGAGGTTTTCCAGGCAGGGCCCCTTGAGTTTCTCCCAGCAGAGCTCCTGTGCCCTGAGGATGGGGCAAGGAGGACTAGGAATACAGCTCAAAATCCATCCTGTCTTCCACAGCCACCCTGAAGTCTAAGCAAGATGAATTACATCGGAAGGCGCTGCAGTCACTAGAGAGGTAAGGAGACGCTCCTTCACTGCAGGCGCCCCTCCTGCCTTTGGGAGCACAAGGTGGCATTTCACATGCTTTACCTCATGTGACTCTCTGGTATGTTCACCTCTGTGAAGTGGGGGGTCTCTATTTCCATTTTTTAGACCAGTCAACTAAAAAATGCTGAGAGGTCCCCCAGAGGGACAGCCTATCCTCGGCCCTGGGCCTCTGGCCTTCAACACTGCGGAGTCAGGTGATCAACTAGGAACTGGGACTACAGCCGCTGCCATGCTCAGGCTCTAAAGTGGGGATACCAACCCACAACTGTTGTGATAATTATGTGAGATAAACCAGGAAAACACCTGCAATGTCCTGCATTTGCAACCATAGTGTTTGCCTCCTTCCAGCCCCTCCCAGTCACCCACAAACCTTAGCAGAGACTTCCTGGCAACTTGGAGTCTCAGGCTGTCCTCAATCAGCCTTTAGTCACTGCGCCCCATCCCCCAGCCTCCACCTCACACCTTGAACCTTGGCCCTCTGGGCCTGTGTGCCTTGCTCCCTCCTCAACGTAGAGGTGGCAGTTTTGCTGGGTGGGGCCTGGCTGGGACTCCTTACGCCAGCTGTGGTGAGACATGGGGCACTCCTGCCCCTGTGTGGGGCAGGGTCCAGTCCCAAGCCCCCTGGAGCTCTGGGGAATGGGGGCTTTTCCCATCTCCCCACTTGTTCTTTATTCTCAAGGCTTCTTGCCCAGAGAGGCTATCTCCAGCCCACTACCTGCAGGAGGTGTTATCCTCTGTCCTTTGGTGTGCACAGGCTGTGGCAGGCTGACAGGTGCTGGGGGGCAGCCTGGGCCTGTGTGGTATGGACATATGTCCTGTCTGTCTCCACCCCCTAGCCCTTCCCCTCCTTCAGGTTGTCACCTTGGGGCTCCCACCCAGGTGGCCCTGCCTCAGCTGGTGAAATCCTCAGAGCCACTGTTCCTGCCTTGTGCTGCCTGTGGGTCTTCACCCAGCCGTCGCCTCCCAGCTGGGTGCCCCTCCAAAGCAAGCCCTGGCAGAATCCACCCTAGCACCCAGCACAGGGCTAGCATGCAGGAAGCCTGGGTCACATGCTGATTGCCCGGTTGTTGGTGACTGACTTGTCACTCTTTCCCTATACAGAGCCCGGGAACTGGCACCTGATGACCCCCAGGTCATCCTCTATGTCTCCCTGCAGCTGGCCCTTGTCCGACAGGTGGGTTGTCACAGTTCCTAACCCCCAGGGCCCTGGGGGTGCCAACTTCCTCCTGGCAGCTCCACCTACCAGCTGTGTGCTCAGCTGCAAGCGACTTGACCTCTCTGATCCTCCACTTTCTTCTCTGTCATGTGAGCATGTCTGTGCCCTGCTCTGGGGACTCAGGGGGGTGCAGTCAGTGAGTGTGAATGCAGCCCTGCCCCATGGGGGGCATCCAAGTAAGGACTGTGCTCTGCTCTGCCTCCCCTGGAACAGGGAAGTTTCCTGAGAAGTTCAGAAGTCATCACAACCGTATCTGCATGAGTCCTGGCTCCCCGGACCTTTTCCTGAGATCCTGGGAAAACAGTGATTGGCACACGGAAGCTCTTTCTGGGGGCTCTCAGTGTGACTTCAGAGCTTTTCCCTGCCCCTGCAGACACCACGCTCAGGCCTCTGCTTCTGGGGCCGGGTAGGGGCCTCCTGTGTACCTACCACCTCACCCTGCTAGGCTCACTGCCACCTCCCAAGACTCCCCCAGCCCCTCTGTCTTCCCCAGGCTGAGGACACTGGCTCAGTAGGGACTCCCCACTCCCCGAGCCCTTCAGATCCTCCTCTGCTCTCCTGCACTGTAGCTACAGAGTGGGGTGTCTGCCTCTCCCCAGCCGCGGAAGCCCCATTATCTGGTGAGGACCACAGTGCCTCATTTAGTCTCTGAGGGAACCAAGGTCCCCTGAGCTCCTCCACTGAACTGAGGCCTTGATCCCATTTGGAGGCAGGCCCGGGGTCCTGTTCCCACTTGTGTCTTCAGTCGCCTCCAAGAGCTTTCTCTTCTGGCTTGGGGATAACAGGGACCCTGCGTCCCATCCCTGCCTGTTCATCCTCCCTGGAGCCCACGTTGGCCTGGCTCCTCTTCTCACTGCACAGCAGCTCTCACTGCTGGAACCCCTTCTCTCTCTCACCCCACACCTTGACCCTTGTCCCAAGCTCCCGTGTCACCTGACCTGACTTGTCACTCAGCCATTTTCTCCCCCGTGGCCCTGCTGTCCTTCCTGCTGTCATCTGCTGCCTCTCCTTGCCTCTTGCACCCCCTCTCCATGATTCACATGGCCCCTCCTCCACCCCCACACTCCCGACTCTGCCCTAGACCAGGACTGGGCCTCTCTGTGCCTCTCACCAGGGTATCACTCTGCCCCCAGGAACATGGAGGGAAAGATACCTGAGACAGCTTTATTTTTAGTCCTCTATAAAAGAACCTGGTGCTTTTCTTGCCAGTCAAGTTAATGATAAACCTTGGGTGATGCATTTTTAAATCTCTTTAATTATTCACCCATCTCTGATGAATAGTGCCCATCTGCAGAGAGAGATCGCTGGTTGGCCAGGCTGTTGGAGCCTGGTGCCCAGTTTCCTTGGGGACCCCAGGTCTTGTCAGCCCCAAGGGGTTGAGGGCCCTTAAATGGACTCTTAAGAGCTAGACTTGAGCTTGTGATCCTCCTGCCTCAGCCTCACAAGGATGCTGCCATGCCTAGCTTAGGAACAAGACTCTTAAATAGATTAATTGGCTGGGTGTATTATCTCAATAGGGGAGCACATGCTTGGCATGTGAGTAACCCTGGGTCTGATCCCTAGTGCACGTGCGCACGCACACACACACATACACACACACACACACACACATATCACATCACGAGGTTCTAGGGAAAACAGAGCCCTATTATAGACAGTCAGAGGAGGGGCTGGGGATTTAGCTCAATGTGCTGCCACCTGCCTTGCAAGTGCAAAGTCTTGAGTTTGATCCCCAAACAAAAACAAAAAGAGAGAGAGTCACAGGAGCTAAAGTGTCTCTCAAGGCTTGAGGGCAGACATGAAAGAGCATTGCCTCAGGACTAGATGGAGGGATCTTTCCAGTTCCTTAGGGGCAGCACCTTGGAAGGCTTGCAGAAGGAAACCCACCCTTCCCAAAGCACCCTGTGCCAGCACTCTGCAGGACATTTTCATTCAGTGTCTCAGCCACTGCAGTAGGGAGAATCATTCTCTTCATTCTTTTCATTTTGCTGCAGAGGAAATAGAGCTCAAAGAGGTAAATTCCCTTGCACTAGGTGCCAACTAGGCAGTGACAGAGCTGGGCTATTTGCCCCCACTTGACTCCAGAGCCCCAGCTCTTGCCTCTGCTAGCATCTAAAGCAGGGGGCAGGGGGATGGACAGACCAACAGGTCAGGTTGTCTTCCCCAGGACCACCAGAGCAGGTACCTAGCAGACTGAAAGAGCCACCACCTCCTGGCCACTGCCCTCACTCCATCCATACCTGGTAACGGCCTCCATGCCTGCTGGGGATAAGGTGACAGGGTTAGCAGTGTGAGGGGACAGGAGGCTCATGGGTCCTGGGAAACTGGGCCAGGTTGGAGGTGCACAGAATCTAACAGGAGAAAATGGAGGTCAGTGCCCTGAACTCATAGCATGACAAGAGGCTGGCTTGCCCTGGGATGAGCTGGGTCTAGGCCCTTCTCTCCACCATGGCCCAGCCTGTTTGAGGCCCAGCCTGTGCAAGACAGGGAGCACTGGTCAGACTTAGGACCCCGGACCCTGGTGGGGGCTTGGCTCTGGTGCTGACCGGCTCCACAGTGCTGTGCCTCTCCACTTGCTTAGGGACTTTTGGAAAGAGGAAGGGGTAGAAGATAAGGAAGCATTTCATTTGTGTTTGCATTTGCTCCGTTAACCCCTCTAAGGTCAGGCCTGTGCTCATAGGCTACTGAATTCAGGGACGTGGAACTCCAGGGACAGCTAGAACCTAGCCCTTTGGAATTTACAAAACTCAATGGTTTCTGCAATACCTTACCTGACCCAAAAGAGCAACATCAGTGGGGACAGATAGCAGGTGGCATCTCAGAGCAAGAGGCTCTGTGTGCATTTGGTGGGGAAGGAGGAGATGGTGTAGAGGGCACAGGGCTTCCTCGCAGGTCACATGAGACTGCTTAAGGAGCGCTGCAATCACTGGGATGGCTCAGCCTGTTTTGAAGAAATGTTTACCTTGGTGACTGCCAGAATTCTTTTTACTCTTTAATGCTTGTGGAAACTTCCCCCAGACCCTGCCGAGGGTGTGCAGGCCAAGCCATGTGAGACCGGGAGCATTTCTCTCAGAGCGCATCACCTTCCTGGCTAAGCAGCAGGTGGGATGGGGATGTTCAGAGTTGAAATGGGATTGGGAGAGCAGCTTTTGGGGAGGATTTAGAACTCAGCCACCAGGTGTTGTGCTAAGAATTAAAAACGGTTTCTTTAGGAAGGGAGTTCCTATCCCACCTCTGCCCTCTGGGTTTTCAAGGAACAGGGCTCCATCCTGGTGAGGCAGGGTGAAGTAGGGGGTATAGCCAGGTAAGAGTGTGGCCTTAGCCCTGTAGGGTGTGCTCAGGAGTTGACCCCGTGACCCTGTCACAGCTGCAAATCCCCAATACCCAGCTAGATTTGCTAGGGCATCAGGGTCCCACTGGCCGGGTTGGTGGGAGCAGTAGAAGTTCCCTTCCCCACTGCCTGCTCCTTCTGAGCTCAGAGCAGCCAGGCCTGTACTCTTGCACAAGGATCCCAGGAAGGCAGGCAAACCAGAGTTGGAGGAGGCTAGGGCCCAGGTGGCCATGGGTCTCTCCACACTGCTACGAGCTCTGCCTACACCTGGAGCCAGGGCTTTCCTCCAGCTACCCTCAGGGGGCACTGCAGTGGCTCTTCAGACCCTCTACATGTGGCTTCCCCACCCTGCCTGATCCGCCTCTCCCTACCTGTCCAGACTTGGAACCAGGTTTAGTAATTTATTGATAGAAGGAAAGAAAGAGAGAGAAGGGGGAGGAGGGAGGGGAAAGAAAAGAAAAGAAAAAATAGGACTAGAGTGTGGCCAGACCCTTTCTTCTGGGCACTTGCCTCTGCATCCTGTTTTTTCACCTCCCCTGGGCAGGATTCTGCTGATCTGGTAGCAGAGCTCCATGGAATGGCTTCTGCATGTAGCCAGGCCCCCTCTCCCTAGTGCGTCCACCCCTCCCGTGGAGGAAATGCTTTCTGTTGTGTACCCAAATCCTCTGCGCTGTGCCATGAACCCACTTCCCTCTGTCCCTACTGGAATGGAAGGTCTCTCCCTGCCAGGCTGTTTGTGGGGCATATTTTCTCACAGCACCATCCCTGCATCCCAGTGCCAGGGGTTCACTTGAGTTGGACCTGGGGGGCCTCTCCTTGGCTGTCATCTGGCACTGGAGTCTGGGGAAGGGTCCTAAGCTGGCGGCTTCCTCTGTCAGATCTCAAGTGCCATGAAGCAGCTGCAGGAGGCCCTGACAGTGTGCAAGGATGATGCCAATGCCCTCCATCTGCTGGCCCTGCTCTTCTCCGCCCAGAAGCACTACCAGCATGCCCTAGATGTCATCAACATGGCCATCACTGAGTACCCTGAGAACTTCAAGTGAGTTCCCTATGGACAGAGCCGGGTAGGGGCTGGCCAGCCATCAGCACAGGTGCCAGGACACATTGGGAAAGCGCCCACTGCGTGCACACTCCCTGGGTGGAGAGACAAGTGGGTAGAGGGCCACAAGTGGCTATAGTGCTCTGTGTGGGACTGGGGAGTGGTGAGCCTGTGGTCTCCTTGGGGCTGTGGGGCTGCGGAAGAGAATGCACTGGAGTGCATGGGCGCTGCATAGGTGCTTCCCCAACCCCGACCCCGACCCAGGCTCTGTGTGACCCCTCCAGGCCACCAAGGCAGGAAGCTTCATCATGACCCTGATGCAGCCAGCCAAAGATGAGGTCTAACCCTGGCTGGGCTGGGGGAGGCGAAGGAGCCATCCCCTGCCTCCAAGCAAGCCATCTGCTTCCCCCTACTGTCTGTTGTCAGCAGGTTTTCCTCCAAGGTGTTCCTGCCACTCCCTGTTTCCAGGACCATCAGATGCCCTGCTTCTTGGAGCAAGGTTCAAATTGCACTTGGTCCAGACTGCGGTGGATGGGATAGACTAGGTCCTTCTGCCCCTACCCTTATGCAGAGGACCTGCTGCCACCGACCAGGACACTGGGAACAAGAGCTACACAGGGTTTCTGCCTCCCTCCCTTCATAGGCTGATGATACTACCATAGTGTCACTAAACCTCAGAATGAGGGGACCCTGGGCACCCTCACTCCCACTCTGTTCCACTCTGAGGTTTGAACCAGCCCAGGACTGCCCCACAGCAATTAGGAAAACACTGGAATCCTGGTTTCCCTGAGAGGTGACTCAGTGGCGATGCTGCCAGGTTCACAGAGAATTAGGGAAAATCAATGGGTATCTCAGAGGTGACAGGTGACAAAGGAAAGCTTCGAGCATGCGAACCCCAGAGGCAACCTCATGGGGAGACCAAGGCCGACCACAGGGGTGAGGCTTGGCTTTCCTGGGCCCTTGGCCTCCTTCAAGGAGATTGCGGGCCATTCTGCTTGTGGCCTTTGCCAGGGTGCTGGAGACTCTGGGTGGCCTCTTCCTTCCAAGGCTAAAGAAAGGTGGCTGGGGTATGGCAGAGGTTCCTACATCTGAACTCTTATGGCGTGCCTCAGTAATGAGAGGGCCTCTAGTGAATGAAGCTGCGTGGGCGCCATCCTGCTTATCAGAAGCCCTGAGCCTGGCTGGCTTAGCCCTGTGCGGACTGACCCCCACCCGCAGCAGCTTGGCTCCCAACCTACCCAGGCAGGTCCCAGCTGCTCATAGCGGTGCAGGCTGATTATGGCCACTTCAGCAGACATAGCCCACTTGTATGGGAGGGATGGCCCTGATTCTGACCCTCGACTTAAGAATCTCAAGTACAATACAGCAATCTTAGATGGTAATAGTTTATTTAATTTGTTATTTATAAAGAAAATGCACAGAAAGCAAAGATTCTTTCTCCCAGAGCCAGTACCTTGATTTTTTTTCCACATTCCATCTTTATACCTATCTGGCAGGATCTGACTCATTGCTGCTGTGTGTGTCCCTGTGCATGTGTGTCTGTGTGTACCTGCATGTACCTGTGTGTGTGTATGTACGTGTGCATGGAGTGTGTGCATGTGTTTGCTCTTGCTGGTTAGGCCTCAGTAGAAATGTGAATGGTCAAGAAGAAAGACTTAGAATCCTGATTGAGGAAGGGAAGGGGCTCCTCAACCCCTCAACCACCGTGGGTCCTGAGTATGTCATTGAAGAAATAAGGTTCAAGGCAAGGCTCTGTAGCAGTGTTTCATCAGCAGCACATTTTAGTATATGTGCTGCCAAAGCGAGCATAACAACAGCACATTTTAAGCTGAAGTCCTGTGTGGAAACTGAGAACAAGAATCAAAAGAAAATTTGCCTCTGCACAGTTGGCCCCTCCTTGTACCCTGGTTCCAGCTAAGGGTCTCTTCTGTACCTGCATCTGGCATTTGCAGCTCTCTGTCATTTCCTAACTGAGCTGACTGTTCTAACAGGCCACTCCACTGGCCTGCAGTGGGGACACTTGCTGACTTTCGGATTGAAAGGCTGTGTGGGGTGTGCTGGAAATAGGGTCTGTCCAGCCCTCTGGCTTCCTCTTAGCTTCCCTGATCCACTTCAGGGAGGTGTCCTCTGCCTGCACCACCTCCATCTTCCAGAGCCCAGGGCTGCTGGGCTTAGAGGTCCCTGTTGCATCACAGCAGTGTGTGAACCTACCACTGCCACCTGGATCTCTTCTCTGCTTCCTTCCCTCCCACCTCACCAGAATGCTCCCCACTCACTCCATGAGTCTGAAGGTAGAGGGTCCTGGCCCTGAGCCTGGTGCCTCCCACAGGAGGCCTGTGGGTGGACATGACTGAGAACATTTTGTGGGTGCATGCAGCATACGTCCCGCAAGATGGCTTTTAGCAGGTTCTCAGAGGAGCTGAGCCCCAGAAAGGTGCAGAGCAGCCTAACTGCCCTCCCTAATCCCCCAGGCTTCCAGGGAGCTGCCCACAAAGCAAGGTCCCCACTTCTGCTGGCTGGAGCCTTAAGAGGGCAGCGTCTGCCAGGGGGACAGCTCACCCTTACAGATATATCAGTCCAGGTAATTGTGGGCCTTAAGGAGCTCTACAGGCTGAAACCACACGTGTTCTTTGTCCCTTGTCTGTGCAGTGATAAGCATTATCCCCAGTAGAACCTCACTTTCCGCTGTCTGTTCAAACAGGCATCAGTAGAAATAGTAGTTCTTTATCTTGAGCCACCTTGAGCCCCTAACCTCCTGGACCAGGAGAGCTCTGTTTTGATCTGAGCTGGCCGTAAAAGCCTACAAAACTAGTTGGAAAAGATATGGGAACTTCTGACCTCCAAGACTGTGAAAAAAAATAACTCTCTCATTTTAACCAAAAAAAGGAGAAAGTATATATGCATATACAGTATATACATATATGTATATATGGCTGTGGGTCCGCTGGGGGATCCATCTACCTCCAGCTCTGTTGTATGACCATAGAATATGGCCATGTCACTTTGCAAAACAAGTCAGTACTGTTCCCCCAAATGAAACCCTCCAGTACAGAAACCCATGGATTACCAGGAAATATCATTGAGTCCATTATGGGTCAGGGATTGCTGAAAAATGTCATTGCTCTTCGATTGACACTGCATCCTGCCTCTCCAGCTGCTCCCTGCACTGGGAACAAGCCGTGCATGGCTCCAGCTGTTGCCAAGGCGGTTAATTAAACAACCAGTCCAGTAAATACCATTCAGCAAAACAACACAAACCAAATCCCCTTTGCCCTGACCTCATTGTCCCCAGTAGAGTCTGTTTTCAGGGAATACTGAGAGGCCCATGGACCACGTCTGTCCTATACCATGCACCTTTTCTTCCTGTGGAGGCCATACATACAGTGTGTCCCAGGCTGCCAGAGAGGGAAGGCCCTGACAGGCTGCTGTTGGGGTTCATGCTTTGCCTGTCACTGTTTGGTACCCAGGATGGACCCTCATCCATGTGAACTTACTGTGAGAGCCATAGTGAGGTCCCTTCCTTGAGTTACGTCTTGTCACCTATGCCACCTGCAGCAACCTGCTCCTCCTTGGCAAGACAGACAGTATCTGTCCTGGCTCCTCTTGCTCCTGAGATCCCCTCAGAGAAGGTCATGCAGCTGATCGATAGTGTGTCCAAGGTGGCGGGGCGGGGTAACCACAGTGTCACACTGGCACCTGGGACCCAAGGGTGGCTGGGCATATAGTGATCCCAGAAATGGAAGAAGGAAGGGCCTGGAAAGGCTGGCCGCTGAGCAGGGAAGGGGACATGAGCCCTGGGAAGTTTTGAAAGGTCACCATGCCACACAGGCAGCATCTAGACTCCCAGAGCAAAGCCCAGCTTTCTCAGAGTCAAACTTTTGAAAATCCTTCAGAATTTGGGGATTAGAAAGCAAAGCAAAGAGGCTCTTGACATCCTTGCTATGGTATGACCTTTAGTTAATGGAGCTCAGGTTTAAAAAGGCAGGAATTCAATGAGGGCAGAGACTGATGGCCCCTCAGGGACAGTGTGAACCTGGTGCTGTGGGAACCAGACACCCTGGGCAGCTTCCTGAAATCCTGTGGGCTTCCCAGTAAGCCCTGGACACAATTGCTGGCTGGGCAGTACAGCCAGCCAGGCGGCCCAGGCCAGAAAGGGGCCTCCAGGCCACAGCCTCCCTGTTTGGAATGTGAGAGGCTCCAAGCAAGCCCCGAGATGCCTTTGCTGGCCCTTTTCATGTGGGGTGGAGGAGGCAGCTGGGAGTCCTGAGCAGGGAGGGGCAGGAAAATAGGGTCAAGGAGAAAGGGCCACTGATAAGCGGCCTTCCCGTCCTTCCCGAGGCCATGGGCGCTGTCAGGGATGGTTTTAGGTAACAGATTCCTTGAGCTTTTGTCAGGCCCTTGTGGCGAAGGTCACCATAGCAACCAAACAAAGTTCTTGGGCTAATGATGGGAGCTTTCCAATAACTATCCTGTCAGTCACTGATCACGCCTGCCCCTGGCAGCCTGCCCGGCTGGCTTTAAAGCCCCAAACTGTACACCAAAGAGGCAGCCGAGAAGCAAATGGTTTCTCTTCCTGCTCCATTGAGCAAGGCCACCTCCTCCCACCCCCTGATCCCTAGGGATCAGAGTAGACTCTCCTGGGAGTTCCTGCTGGTGCAGCCCTGATCCTAGGGGACTTGGAAAGTCCTGGGGGAAGGTCTGCTGGAGCCCCAGCAAGGGAATAATATGGCCCTCTCTACAAGCCAGAGCTTGTCACCCATAAACAAATGAACCAGCACAGCCATTTGCCCCAGGAAACCTCAACTGTTTTGGAAAATGTTTGAGCTGATAACTAGGCATTAGCTGGAGCCAGACCTTGGTAAAGTTCTGGTAAAGTTCAACCTCTAGGGCACCTCTCTGATCTACCTGGCTGGCCTCACCTATTTTTCAAATTGTGTGTGACACATTCCTAATGGTGCATTCCACTGAACAGAAGGGATCAGAGTCCTGGAGCGTCTGTT